ATATATCAATATGTATTCATCAAAGTATATTCAATGTTAAAGAGAAAAAATGATGATGATTTTTATTTAATAGAAAAAGATATCAAAATAAATTCACAGTTGTCATATAAATCAGCTTTGCACTATGTGAACAAATCGATTGATGGTTATGTCGTTCGGAAAAAAAAATGTGGATTTCGCCGGAACTAAGCGGAACACTAAAAGAAAATTATCATATTCAGCGGTAAAGTAGTCTAATTTTTTCGGTGACTTTTGAATATTTTGCGTCAAAAAGAACTAAATATTAACTGTAATTCACCGGGAAAATGTGCTTAGCTTTAAGTATGGAATATTACTTCGAATTCTCATTAGTTTCCGATATTTTCCTATCGGAAACACTCCGTATGCATTCAACTACGGCATTAAAAATATTTTAACATAAAACAAAATAATTCATTAACAAATTGTTAAAAAGAATTGAACATTGTATAAATAATCATGTTACCTATCCGGAACACTTAATAAAATAAAATAATAATAATATTTATTTATCTTAAATATTTTTATTTGATATTATCAGAACTTGTAGCCAACTCGAAATTATCAAAGATCTTTATGTACAAAAAAAATCATCATCATTTTTTCTCTTTAACATTGAATATACTTTGATGAATACATATTGATATATGTCTGTCACAAGAATAAAGAAAAAAAAAGTTGCAAAAAGAAATATGAGTAAAATAATCTCCGAACAGAGAAAAGATTTTCATTCATACTGTTCATGACGCAAAAAACATACAATTCATAAATTATAATTAAACTACAGGATACTTCGCTTAAAATATCTATTAAATTCAAAATGAAGAAAAAAAAAGTTCGTTTTCATTTTTTCTTGTCACTACTATATTGGTGACTAGTAAGTATTTATGATATACTGTTTTTTACCTTCCTATATTTAAAGGTCAACATACGGTCATATCTACTTTTTTCGTTCTTTTTGTATGTTCTATAACTAAACAACAAATAAAAAGTACACATTCGTTCACTCATCATTGAATTTACTTCGCACACATTTGGTAAGTATAAGGATAATGTACTTCGACATAGCTTTTAAAATAATCTTTGACATCGAATATTTATGTATTATAAAAGATTTTGGTTAAAAAAACCAATAAAGTCAATAACAGAGATAAAACTAAAGATTTTTTTTCTTTTGATGAACAAGGATTTTCTTTTTTTTTCGTTTGAACTGTTTGTCGTCAAGGTAAAGATAAGCAGAACATGAGAGCGGGAGAGAGTCGTGTTCTTTTCTTTTATACGTCAGTGAATCATTGGTGTATAGAATCGGGCATGAATATTCATTTCTTTTCTTAATAAAAATGAGCGCAGAACGAAAAAAAGCTTCATCGAATATTAAAATATATTTTATATCTTGTCAAAAACGAAAAGATATTATTCTAATCATTTAAAAGAAAGTGTACTCTAAAAAGCTCTTTTTTTGTTCATTTCTCAAAATAATACACATTCAAATAAAATGTATTTTTCGTTTGCCTACCATTGCTTTATGCAGATTTTCTCTTTTCGAAGGGCAAACACCTATTTTTGCGGAGCATAAACACATATTACTTGCTATAATAACCACAAACTCCAGGAGGGTCTCCTTGATGTTCGGCAGGGAGCTGCCTCTCAGCTCTTATATCGGATACAATACTGTTGCCTATAAAGCATTTATTCATTATTTTATTTTTGTGTATGCAGTTAGATATGATCAATTCAGTTGAAAATTTGCATCTCTTTTTTGTTTTTGTTCTAGATTATTTTTCGATTAGCTATTGTTTGAGAATATGTGAATAGATCGATTGATAATCGGAAATTAACAGCTGCGAAACAGTTTCAACATGATCGAATCGACTAAAGACGATCAGATCTTTTATGATCTTCGAATATTTGGACTCCAAAATAGGTTTAATGAATTTAAATAAAATTGAAAACTAATTAGTAGATTTGCATTATATTTAACAAGTAGAACATTTTTTATATTAGTATGTATACATTGAAAAATTAAATTTGATATTTTCTAATTGACTCTTGATTTATTCTTATATACGAAATAATTTTAAAAAGAGTATTGTCTTCAACTATATGTTCTTGAAATATACATTACCTAACGCGATCATTCCAGCCTTCGCAAACGGCATAGTACTGCATTAAGTTTCACTATAATCCGCTATTCCGGTTGATGGATCTTTTTTTCCGCTAGCTAACAGTCATTATTTCTCTCACTATTTTCACGGGTTTAGAGGATTATGGTAGACAGTAATGTAATGTGTCGTTGTTTTGTGAAACAGGGGCATAGATTGTGCCATAAATGACTATCGGAATGGGTTTTCATCATTGTGTCAATTGTTTAGAAATTTTGAACTTGTCTTATTTTTCTCCACTGATTCACAATTGATACAAATTAGAAACCAGACAAAAAATCTGTTTATTTAAAAATATCTTAATATATGTAAAAGTTAAAAAACGTGTCTTGCACATTTAAATCTGAACTCTTGGATAGAACTCAAAAAAATTTAATCGAATTATTTTTCTTTACAAAGAAAACTTTTTTTTTTTTATTATATTCTCTGCACATTTGATTTTCATTATAAGTCCTATAATACAATTCATCGGACTGATTTTGGTATTTTCGTTGAATAACTTCTCTTGCTATAGTAATATCGAAATTTAAGATATCGTTCTAAATTAATTAAGTACCTACCTATATAAATATTGATTTTTTAAATTCTATTGTAGATAAATTACAATGGCTATGAAAACTTCACCATTTGCTTTATATAAAACTTTTATCGATGCTTATATGCAAGGTCATCCTGAAGTGGTCAAATCTGTATGTAGTTTTTCGATTGATTTTCTTAATAAATATAAGATTTTGTTTTCTAGCTTCGTCATTACAATGGTTTAGCTGAATGGGATAAAATAAAAAATAATGAAGAATTAATTAAATCAAATATTGAAAAATATCTTGCAATTGCAAAAAAACCAACTGTAACTACAAATGAAACAAAACCATCTACTGATAATGAAACAACAACAACAACAACAACAACTGGACGAAAACGAACAATATCATCTGATGATGAAACAGAAGTTCATGATCCATTATTTGATCCAGATATTGTTGTTCCAGTTGAACCAACATTTTCAAAACGTACAATAAAAAATTCTGTTTGTGAGAAAGAAGATGAAACAAAACCATGGGTTATTCGTGGTATTGAAAAAGCTAAAGCTCGTGTTCAAGCTCATCTTGCAAAAATTGAAGCAAAACGTCTTGCTAAACAAAGTCGAGTAAAAGCTCCAGCACAAGAAGCTCTTGCACAAGAAATAAAAGAAATATCTGAACGTATAGCTAATTTATTGCAAGTTAAAAATATGGGTTTATCAACTGATGAAACAAATTTTACATTAAAAAAATTAATTCGACAAAAAAAAGAACGTTCAACAGAACTTAGTCTTTTACAATCGAAACAACGTGCTGGTAAACGTTATCGTCAACGAAGAAAAAAACGTCTTGAAACATTATGTAATGCTGATCCAGAAGTTGCTACTGAACTTTTAAAACTTTATAAACCAACAACAATAGCTGTACAAACGATTGATAATGTTTCGCCAGATTTATTACAAACAATTGAAGAAATTGCAAGAATTGGTGGTGTATCAGATGCAAATTCAAGATTGATGAATAGTGGACCATGTACAACATTAGATGAACTTAGAGACAAAATAAAAGAACGTGGTTATGAAATTCGTAGATCATCAGTTTTCTATCGGTAAGTATTGAAGTTTTTCGAAACAAAAAAAAACTTTGATGTTTTAATTTTTAAAACGTGTATTTTAGTCTTATACCTGCTGGTGCTTTTTCTGAAGATGGAAAAAAACATGGTACTTCATCGGGTGTTCGTCTTCGAAAACTTCAAGGTATCGAACAAGCTCGACATGAAGGTAATTTTACAAGATTATATATTCAAAAATAATTCATTTTTTATTTATTTAGATTGCTATTTTGTATCTGCTACCTTAAAATATATGAAAGATTTAGCTGGAACTTTTGGAAATGATTGTGTTTTTTATCTTGTTCAAGATAATAAAGCTTCAATTAGAATTGGTCGACCTGCAGCTAGAGGAAATTCGCCACTTATCATGCGTCTTGATTATCAAATTAGTACAGCTAATTCAACGCCAATGCCACCATCAGTTCCATATCAACTTAAACCAACGTATGTTGAATACTGAACTCAAGTGAAGTCTTTTTTTTTTGAGATCATTGATCTTTATCGATAAATAGTTAGACTTCTCTCCCATCATACAGTAGTGATTGTCGAAATCAAATGTATTTTATTGGTGACAAATATACAAAATTTATTCGAGATATTCTAGCAGAAAAAGTAGCTAAAGCATTAGGTTATTTGACATTTGGCCCTGAGAAAATATTTGAAGGGCATTAAAGACAAAACGATGAGAAGATAAAATAAAATAATATTTAAAAAATTGGACTGTTAAAAGTTAGTAATCGATCACAATGGTCATCGCCAATGATAACTTAATATATGTTTCATAGTATTTCAAAAAATTTGTTTCGATTTAAAAATATTCATAAAGAAGTACATGATAATTTTGTTACACATTCTTATCGATAGTAGAAACATACTATTACAAAGTCGTTGCAGATATCACTTATATAAGCAATCGATAAATTAAATATCAAGATTTTTATATCGATTCAATTGCATATTGACTCTATGATCATTCTGATTTAATCTCCCGTTTCTCATTTGATTTTCTTACTTTTTATAGAGTATATGCATCTTGTATTCTTGATGAAAATGGTGTTATTACTAATTCTGGTCCAACATATATTTCTGTTCGTTCAGCAAAACATGATCGAATAAATATTGATTGTGAAGAAGTTGATTTTGATCATGTTGTTAAATTAAAAGAATTCGAACGAACAGCACGAAATCATATTGGTGAAGTTAAACCAGTTATTATTATGAATATAGATAGTATTAATCCAATGGATTATACACGTTATCAAAAAACTCTTTATTTATCAATTAAAAAATTTAAAAAATATAATTTAGATGTTTTTATTCTTATTACACAAGCACCAGGTCAAACAGCATTTAATATGGTTGAACGACGTTTAGCATTATTATCACATGATTTATCAGGTTTAGTTTTACCAGATAATTATTTTGGTACACATTTAAATATAAGTGGTTTAACAATTGATGCTGAATTAGAAAAAATGAATTTAAAAAAAACCGGTGAAGTACTTGCTGAAGTATGGAATATGAACATGATTGATCGTTGTCAAGTTGTTACTGAATATATTGATCCACCAACATCAGCAGATGAAATGGTTCGATTTATTGATACTAAATTTACTTTAGATTATATTATTGATGAGTAAGAATTTTAAGGAGAAATTCAATTAAAATAAAAAAAAAACGAAACTTGTGTTTTTAGAATTTGTGATGAAGATGAAGAAATTCCACTTCATCAACGTATTCAACGTTCTCGCCCAGCTTTTTATCCAGATTCAAATACAGATACAAAACCTAAACCTGTTTATGATATTGATGAGTATGTGTTAAATTTGAACAAAAAAATTAAAACCAATGTATTATTATGTTTTTAGATATTGGTGTGCAACACATGTTTTTCAAACTCAATATACAATTCAAATAGTTCGTTGTACTAAACCAGAATGTTGTGGTCCATGGCGTTCGAATTATATTCAAGTATTTCCTCATCGATTTCTTCCACCACCTGTACCATTTCATCGTTCATCACGTGGTGTTAGATTAGAAAATATTGAATCATCATTTGCTAATCTAAAACCAACATCACCATATTATGGTACATTATTTCAACGTATTCAATTTCATGGTATTGTTATGCGTGGAACACAAAATCAATTAATACCATTTGATGCTTATTGTCCATCAATTCAAAATAAAATGTATTCACGTACATGTACGATTTGTAAACAATATATTCCATCTGCAGCACGTTTACGTAATCATTATAAAGTTCATCAACAACGATACGCATCTAAATATACTGATCATAATAATAATAAGAATAATAAAGAAGAAGAATTAATTGATGATGATGATCCTATTGATCCAAGTGATTTACCATTATCACCAATAAATATAAGTCAAAATGGAGTTTTTCTTTTTACTGATATGACTGATTGGTTAAAATCTGATTTTGAAGATGATCCTGTTACTGAACCAAAACCAAAATCAGTAGCTGCAACAGCAAATGCTATGATTAGAAAAGAAAAACAATTAGTAGCTGAAGCAACTGCTGCTATTGCTGAAAGTTCAAAACTACTTCAAAAATCAAAAACAGCAACAACAACACAAAATGATGTTGTTGAATCAGTAGCAACTATTTCAGTTGATAATGCATTATCATTAAATGATAATGTTGATATTCCTGAAATTAAGGTGGAACAAGACGATGTATCTGATGCACTTGAACAATTAAATGTTATGGATGATAATATTAATAATAGTTATGATGATCTTAGTGATCTTATAGACAAAATTTGATTTTTTCTTTAAGTAGACAAACTCTTTTTTTTTGTTTCTTTAGTGTGAATGGATATTGTGTTTTTTCAAAATAAACGTAGAATAAGAAATATAATTTAGTGTATTTCATCATGTAAAACTTGCTTATTTCTTTTTGCTTCATTAGCTTAATATAAAATGGAAAAAAATCTTAATAGATCATTAGTAAAAGTACAAAGTTTAAAGTATTCAATTATCAATATGTTATGAGTATTTTTCAGTACTTGAATAATTAAGTATTTGAAAATGAGTTTTCAAAATATTGGAGCAGATACCTTATAGATTCTTTCAAGTACTTATATGGTGACGAGCGTAGGTTCCCTCATGATCAACGCCATTTTTGCTGATATTTTGTGTGTATATGAGAAACCTTATACCAAGAAAAAGTCTTTGAGGATTTGGGTTGATGTAACTTATTTCGATAGATATGACTATTTTCAATTCCATATTAAGAGAGAAACAACAGACCGGGTTCATCCTTGGGATGCTCTAATACGGAAAAGAAACGTTTATTTTGATTGAAACTTTCAAAAAATTCTAAGAAAAACTATTAGCAAAATTTCATATTGAAATTTGTTAATTGAATCTTTTCGAAAAAAATCTGTCTATAGGTTCAATACATTAAGTAAAATGGTTGTAATTTTTGACCTTAAGACTATGTATATGTATTCTTTTAAGATTTTCTTAATCTCATTCATATTTACTTCGGCTCATGATATCGAATTATAAATTGTGAGAAGTTAGAGTGATTCTCATATGAGTTACTATTGATCTGATTTTCTTCTTCATAAAAGAGAAGACTACATCAGTCCAAATCCTTTTAAGCTTTTTTTAGGATAAAATCTTCCATATAGACGTAAATATCATCCGAAATGGCATGGATCTCTTCTCGTTAGTGATTTTTCTAATATTTCGTCTATTTTATCGTGAACTGCTCTCTTTTGATATTAAAAACAAGATAAACTCAATTATAATATACTACGTACATTCTTCACAATTTTATTGTGTCTATTATGCATACTCCTACTTATCGACTTAATGCGTTCTTTCAGAACATTATTTTTGAAAAAGTTTGAACTAATAGTCGACGTTAAAGATGATGGCGTGAGGAAAGCCATGAAGTGGTGTTGAAGAACTCACTAAAATAGTCATAACTAAAGAAGAAATACGTTTGAACATACATCATTTTAGTTTTTCTCTCTGGTTTCAATAAAGTTTACCTAATCAAATATAAGCCATCTCAAAAACTATCTATTACTCGGTGTGCCTCGCTTGTCAATTGAATGTCGTTCAAGATATATGCCACAGAACACTTTTATGTAGATTTCAAGAAAAATCACTTTTGTTGTCTTGCTGCATTCTTATAAAATAATTTTCTCGGAGAGTTGAGTTGCAGTCGTACATCATTTTGAACTTCTAGGTCTAAAATGACTGTAAATTTTCCTAAAAAGGTATTTAAGTCGACTTAATATCCAAGAAGAAGAATGTTCAAGTAGTCATATATCGAACTGATTTGAGAACTTCGATGTTGCTTCATTTTGAAATGACTCATATGCAACGAACAGGAAGATAATTGTCGGCCGTAACTGATTCGCAACCTTCTTCTGAAAATATATCTATCCACTTGATTAGAACTGTCGACTACTGGAAAAGATCGCATCTGCATCAATGGTGATCAACTTTCGACAATCTTCTTCCAAATAATGATAACAGAAGAACGGCATAAAGATATCTTCTATTGAGATTCAAACCAAATCTGCGTCACTCATAATAAATATCTGACTTGATCGAACTTCGAATACATGTATCGGTAATTATTTTCTTTAGAAATTTTTTTCCGTATCAATATAAAAATGTGTATGCAACTATAGACCATTCGTTGTCTGTTGCATGAAGGATACTCCTTCAATAAAAGTGTTTCTTGATAGTTAAAGGATTATAATATTCGTCAAATGAGACACTCTTGTATAGAAAAAAATCCTTGTTGCTGACAATATTTTTACAAAAGGATATCTCACCTATGAAAGTCTCCAGCAATCCCACCATGGAGTTTTAGATTTCGACGAGCAAATCTTTCGCTCTCATCAAGTCGATTAGATTATAACTGATCGAAAAGTAAGTATTTCGACGAATTCGAGCTAACATCCTGTTTGAATTATGCAGGAATTTAAAAAAGAAATTTTTTCTCTGTAAAAGAACAACAATTTGAGGAAAGCCGTGACTGTTTGCGTTTATAGTTCAATTCATCCGTATTCTTTGTCCAAGCGCTGTAAAAGAATCGGCTTATCCTTCTATTGGAGCATCTATATTGATAATGTTTCGTACTTTTGTGACCAGTGATACTTGTATATAGCCATCAGATGTACATTATGATACCCTTGAAGTCGGATCGACTGGTTTGCCAGTTATTGATTCGGGTCGGTTGAATTTCAACAATTGTTAGCTTTTCATCGTTTTCTCTTTTATCAATTTTTAGAGCACTGAAGTTAGTGTATTTTCTTTATTCTTTTATAGATTTTATAGTTTTATTGACTTAGAAATATGACACGAAAAGTTCACAACTGGCCGATTCATAATCGCCATCAAAGTCCTAGCTCTAATTTTTGAGCTTACACTTTCTCATCCTACAATGAGGACCTTGGAGTATGTATCGAATTCCATGATTATGGTCATGGGAAGTTGAACAGATATTAGACGTTGAATTCTCTCTAAACTAAAGAGTTCCCTCATCGAACTTCCTAAGTTACTATTATGTATTTTTTTCAACTATTTGTCTTTAACTTTCAATGGCTAGTAGCTTTCTCTTCATGTTTACATTACTGAAATCTCGAAAAAGAAACGCTTTTTGTGTCCAAGTTTTGCTTTCGGCTACTGTTATACAACTATGGAAATATCTTGGTATTTAGAAATCTAAAAATATGTAATTTCGTGTAAAAATCAGATTTGGTAACTCATTTTGTTTTTCTCTTTGCCGTTTGAGAAGCCATTGAGTTGTGTAAAATATTAAATTAATGAATTCTTGTAAAGAAATCATGTCTTTATTGAAAGAAGCCACGGAAAACACAACATAGATGTTGTTCAATATCAGCTATTGTGATGTACTATATGAAAAATGTTGAAAGAGTCCTTCATTCTTTGTTAGTATTAGCGCGTACGGAACTTGACAAATTAAAATAAACATATTTTTTCTTTTAGAAACTCCAAGTGTTACAAGAGTTTCACATTGTATGTCTTTTGTGGAACCATATTAAAAAAACTTATTCTCAAAAGACGTATTTTATTAGTAGATATATATTTATAACGGGTCGATTTTTCTCTAGTCAAACCCAGTAATTCAACCAATTGGTTCGATTCGATAGAAACAGACTTATGCAGTTTCAAATCTAAAATAAAACAAATGAAAAGGAGGACAACATTCGAATGAGTCTGTAGATTGGATCAACCATGGGATTCCGCGACATTTTGATAGAAAATAATAGAGATCTATTGAAAAGTCCGTCTTTCATAAATTAGAGGCTAAACCATAAATTCTACTTTATTCATCTGATCATTTTTAGTATATTCATCTCAGTACTGTCAAAGAAGTTTTATTTCGAGCACTAAGTATTTGTTATGACGTGTACGAATTCGAAAAGGAATCGTTGAATATTGAAGAAACATTACTATTGAATATGGATATCTACCGAGATTTCTGTCTTATGATTTCAAATCGTATGCAAAAATCGTTCAAAAAAATGATCAGTATGATGAGACACTAAAAAGGATTTTTAAATGTCAAATTCTTCTGAGTCATTATCAATAACATAATATATTCTTTTTCAGTGGCATTCATTTAATTATAAATTATATTTTTATCTTCTTGAATGTCGTTGAGAAGCCACACGTTGGATATCCTTCTTAATGCCAATAGCATACGGATGATTGGATGGCAATGTGTGACCATAAATTGCGGCTGCTTGTTTGAGATACGACAGTGCTTGTTGCAACTCGCCAATATGTTCATATACGTCACTAATATTCTTAAATGTACTTGCAATCGAGGGATGCTGAGAAGGAAGAGACTTTGATTTGATTTCGAGTGAACGATTATAATGTTGCAAGGCATAGTTATATTGCCCCAGAGAATAATGAACATTGGCGAGGTTATTGTGTGTAGAACCCAAATGAGGATGATCAGCAGGAAGATACTTCTGCCACATATTTAAAGCTTTTTGATGACAAGTGAGTGCTTTCGAATATTTTTTCTCCTCATGATAGATATTCCCCATGTTACTAAAACAAATAGCTAGATCTTGATGATCATCACCGAACGCTTCTTGATAAATAACCAACGCGTTCTTATACGATTTTAGCGCCTGTTTGTATTTACCTTTACGTTGATAAGACGAGCCAATACAGTTGTGACTGTCAGCAAGATGTGGATGATTCGATTCCAATGTTCGTTGAAAGATCTTGAGTGCTTGGCAATGTCGATCAAGACTCAGATCATAATTGCCTTTGTTAAAAGCCACAATGCCGAGTCCACAATAGCAGGGCGCAATGTCTTGATGATCATCAGGTAGTTCTTTGAGTAAACGGCGATAGTATTTCTCGGCATCATCGAATTTGCCCATGCCAATGAGTAAATTGCCCAATTGACCTAGGCTAGGTTTTTTCAAACCAAAATACTCATGTTTCATATAATCATTAATCAGTTTCAAGTCATGATCATTGTCACTACACAATTTCATTCGGACTTTCCATATTCGATCGCCTTCATAGTGAATATTGATCAGTCGAAAAATTGATCCAATCATCATTAATACTTCCTCCTCGTCAGGATAGTAGCTGAGTGAAGTGATATTAGCAAATGGTTTGATGCCATCAAAACTAGGATCAGCATCGATCTCGAATAGTACTCGCTGCAAATCATCATTAGCAGCAGAGTCTCCGAGGAAGAAGAGGGCGACATCCCGATTGGCAGTCGTAGAGAAGAACGAATTTATCGAGATGAATTTGCCAACTGAATTTTGTAGTAACTTCAATTCATCAGTCGACATTAACTGTCCGCGATAGATGCGAAGAGGTGATAAAGATCGATGTTGTTCGAGTTGTCGTTCAATGTCATGAATGAAGAACCGAAAAAGAAAAAGCAATTCAATATTTTGCGTACGAAGAGCCTTATTTAAGACACGATAGGCAAACGATGGTCTCGTATACCATCTCAAGGCTTCATCGGATGAATAGTGTTGTTCAAATTCGTGAACGTTCTTCAATTCAGCGGTATGTTTTTTATATTGTTCTTTGCATAAAGATACAAGTTCATTTTTGTCTGTTGCTATCGATTTCATTCGAACGAGACAGTCGATCAGTAGTTGTGAATGTAGAAACTGCCCATTGAGTTCAGTTGTTGTTTGTTCATGAGCTGTATCAGTGCCGTTGAAAATACTGACCATTAGCGATTCGCTACTTTTATCACGTGTTCGTTTTTCTTCATCGGATCTGATCTGAGTCACAAGATCATCCAGCTGCACGATCACACGTTTGATCTAAAACAGCAAAGGATCATCATTAGTTCTAATGACTTTTGCAATTGGAACTAGCCATTATAAAATGAAATAAACATAGAAAAAGTTATAGCCACGTTTTTTTTATTAAATTTTTCGAGCAAACTCCAAACTAATAAGAAAATGTTAGCAACTGTTAGAGCCAAGTCGATATTTACTGCTGAGGGCTCAATGTTATTTATGAAATATAATAGATGAGGCACGTTTATTCATTGTGATCAAAGCACATATAAATGGTTTCAAAATATAATTTTGGCCTCATTCGACAAAGAATTTAGTTTTTTAACCATATTGTTTACATCGTTTTTCAAATATAGCTCAGTTATCTACGAAATATTTGTGAGATTAATACATAACTCATCATCCATTTGCAAATTCATACTTTTCTGCAAACATCTATCGACTTTCGGAAGCCTTGAGAGACTACAAGCTTCTTTCCAAGCAAAGTTCAGGGTTCCGAAGAATTTCTCTATTCGCAGAATTCTTTCTTTTTGAACATAATGGTGTGATAACTCCGCTTGCTGTGCAAAGTTCTGGACAGAACTTTATTTTGAAGAAATTAGAAGCCAGCTAGCACGACTTGTTGCCTAAGAAAACAAAATTCTGCTGAGAACTCGAAGTCTCCCATAGAATTTTGTCAAAATGCTATTTAGTACATCAATTTCATGTCTTTCGCTAACCGCCTCTTAAAAAGAAAAATAATAATAAGTCTACAAATTTCTGAATTCTGCTTGCTAAGAAATCTGCAATTGCTAACAATCTTATCAGAAGTTTTTAACGAAAACAAATGTTTCTTTCGAAAAATTCTCCATTCACAACTAGTCACTTGTTGAAACTTTCCAGTGATTTGAATTGCAACTAGACATATATACAGTAGATATTTGAAGAAAAAACTAGATTTTTCGATTTTCTCATCAATATCATTCCATCGTTTCAAATCTCAGTATAGATATCCTCACTCTGATCCAGTAAGTGATGAGCACAGATGTTTTTAGAATTTATTCATTTTTATCGACAGTTAAGTATGAGTAGATAATGATAGTAAAAGCATGATATTTGTTCAAGTAATTCCTTAGTAAGTATTTTTGTAAAATGAAAATGTTGTGGCAGTTCGTTGAGTAATGACCGTTGTCGGCAGTGGCTGAGAAGTTTCACTTCTTAAATCAAAATTTGACAATGATGTTTACCATATGAAGCGATAATAATTATTCATTATATTTCATACACGTTGGAATTATACGACATTATCGTACGGAACGGACTTTTGCGGTGTCCTGAATGTTCCCGCAGTTTTTTCAAAATTTCTGTCGTGCTTATTTAAAATAACATTGTTATAAACTTTCAGTTGGCACAGTTTTCAATGTTTTTTGAGAAATGCTGTTTCGCAAAATGAACATTTCCATGAAAAGACTCTTTCTTGATTGTGAGATGCAGAGTTGAATTCTGAATAGGATACAGTAAGTATTTGTCTCAAGTAGCAATGTGCGAAGTCTTTTTTAATTAAAAAAATGACGATTGCAAAGATCTATCTCAAAGTTGTTTCTAGCGTATCTTCATTTTCTCGTTATCAAATTTTCCTCAAAAATATATATTCTGAAATGTTAGACAATGCATCACAGTACCTAGCATTTTACGCAGGAATTCTTACTATGCTTGGCAATTCAGATGGATTATGTTTTGAGAGTTTTTCATGATTTTATCATTTTTATCAGCTCAAAAATTCGCGCGAGCATGTGCTAATCCTTGAGATATTGCGTAGACAAAGAAACCATATTTGAAAAACCAAGTCAATAGTTTCTTAAGAAATCACATTTTCTACAGTATAAAGTCAGAACCATATATTGAAATTGTTTTCATGTGCTCTCATCATAATAAACAAAAAAGCCCTATTTCTTCCGCATCACAATTATTATTTACCTTGTTGAATTGAGTGGCCCACTGTTCATTTTGCGTCTTATCCATACAGTAGACATAGATTGCTGATATCTGCCGCAATTGATGTATGCGAGGTACGACTATTCGGCCCAAGTAACCACTGACAATCAAGACAATGTGATCATCTGAAGGTACAGATCGAATATATTGTTCGCACTGATCACTGTCTACGAATGTCTTCAAATTATTGATTGATCTTCGAAGTTGGCGTTGAGCATGGACATTTTCTTGAGAATCATTGATTCTTGCATCGAGCCAGACAACAAAAAATGTTTCGAGATTCTCTTTGCTCAGTTTGGGTAATGATGTTCCCATTAATATAGATTTTAATTGTTATTGAATTCACAATTAGCAATTATCTAGGCGAAAGAATAACAGTGATACGCTTCACTCGCACTAAAACAGGTAAAGCATTTCGCCCACTACTTGAAATATAACTCTTCCAATGTTGCCTCCTATAAAAAAACTTGAAAGAAAACTATCGAGTGTGCTTAAGTGAATGAACCTATCGGTATTGTGACTATAACTTTTCTTCTTGTCAACTTATTACAGTGCTACTTTTTTAAAATATACATATACGAGTTTTCTAGAAAAACGATATGTTCTCTTACTTGAAGACAGCAAAATTTAAAACTTCATGAGAAATGCAACGAAGTTCTAAAGTCTTCAGTTTTTCAAACTGTTTCTCAACATATGTAAAACATGTTTTCCAACGTTTTGAGATAGATTAAGAGTATATGCATATGGGTTTTTGTGAAGTTGTCAAGTATGTTTCTTCTATCACAGATTTCGGCAAAACATGATTTTATAATATAAAGAGGGCATTTATTGAAATTCACCTGATGATACAGGGAGAAATCCTCTTGTTTCATTTAAAGCATCGAAATAAATAACATTGTTGAATATCTCGTAAGAAAACATAACAGGCATTAAACATTGTAACATAAAACAAAAACAATCGTAAAAGGCTTTGTTACTATGGAAATACGATGACATTATGTCATGATCCCATGTTGCTATAAAAAAATTGTGATTTTTATGAGAAAGCATTAAAGTTAATAGTAATGTCTGTTCAACGTTCTGTATTATGGAGAGATTCTAATTGTAAATAGAAAGCTATTCACGGGATACTAATTAGCTAATTAGATTTGTTTGTAATTCATCCTGAAAAAAGTTAAAACATTGAGGAAGTAAATCTAAGATGGGGAAATTGACAAGCAGCTGGATTCTTTGTATTTTTTGACTTTGGTATCTTTCAGTTGCCTAATTGAAGCTCAGATATAAATGAGGCTTCCACTGCATACTATAAAATCGAAACAAAAAAAGTTAAAAAACCAAACCAACACCCGCCTGTAGCAAAAATAAAAACAACTACTTCAAACTATACATTATTTTCGAGATAAACCTATCCTATAGTTTCAACAGGAAGGAAGAAAAAAGTTTATTAGAATAATAAATTACAATTGAGATAGAACTGTCATACATCTGTGGCAGAATGGCAAAAAAAAATATTTCAATTATAAGCTATAATTCAAATAGGGGGGCTTCTTTCGATAGTGTATGCGAGCAGTGATGGGATTAGTTCATTTTCAAACCGAATCGATTTCGGCTCGGTTCGAATGTTTTTATAATTAGATGAATATGAACCGGTCACATGAATAGAATGAATCTAGTAGAAAGAAGAAAATCTGTCAACAGGACAATTAATACAGCTTCACCCTATCTATTGATTAAAGCTGTTTGAATAATCTGCGGGCACCATCCACGTCGTACATTTATATATAAATAGCATGTACTGATGTGGGATCAGCATAATTTTCAATAGTTTTTATTTTTGGCATTTTTCCGTTTACAAAATTCATACATACTTTTTGGATGATAATTCCAGTTCCTGAATGCTTGAATGAAATGTGGAAAAATAATAAATCGAATAGCAAACAGAAATGCTTGACATATTTACCCGTATAAATGCTTGATAACGTATGATTAAAAGCGTGAATGAAATTGTCTTGCTCGGATAGTAATGACGCTTCTCGAGTGCCAAAACAAAACTCGCACTAATAATAAATCAAAAAGAAAAGAGATGTTTTTGACATATTTATCTTCTATTTATTCAAATTTTTATAAAATGCGCTTCGACACCCAATCATTACTCTCATTTGTGCGCATTCATGCCAGTTAAAACACACTAGAACCAGAGTTATAGTGGTGACAATAACTGACCAAACGGTAATCGCTCTTCACCAATAACGGGTAAGTAGTGATGAAAGTTCTATCAATAACTGATATGAATTGGTAATCTCTTCACTGGGAGCCAATATTGACTGGTAATCGTTCCATCCGTAACCGGTATCAGCTAGTAACCAGTCTACCAAAGATCCGTATTAATCGATAAACGATAATCGCTGATATTCATCAGTATTCATCCATATTCTCCGGCATTGGTTCATCTGCTTGAATCCCAATGTTTGTCCTTGAGCCATCAGATTTCAGTGAAGTGTTTTCTCCAACAATAAGATTTCAACAGGGTCTTCTCAGAGTCAAGTAGATTTCAGCAACGTCTGAGTGTAGATGTGGGTGTGAGTATGTATTATCTTTTCACCCACACCCTCAGTGTTTAAAACAAAATAAGAACTTTTTTATGGGATCTTGAGTCGAAAACATTTATTGAATAATTAATGAAGTGCATAAATCCATCAAGGAGCATTAGAGACTGTGAAGAACAGATTTTTTAAGGATTCTTTTGAGTACAAAAACTTTTTCACAATAATGAATGTATAGTATGTTAAACAAAATATTTTTTTCCGTTATTAACAGGGATAGAAGGCCTTTTCTCTGCTTTTACCAGAAAACAAGAGCACTTTGTCTTCTATAAAGAATGGAAAACTTATATTTTGTTGTTTGCATAGATTGCAATAACTTTTCGTTCTCTAGGGTTAGGAGATTTCTCTTTG